ATATTGAAAAAGAAGCTGACTAAATCTAGCCGAGGTTACTAAAGAAGTTCTTGATGACTCTCAATTTCCACTTTACTGAATGCTAAAGACATTCAGCAAATAAATACATAGCTAAAAAACATCCATGTACATATGTTCTGCTAATTACAGGCATGTTGTCCTGATCAGAAATATTGAATGAGGAAAGAAGGGGGCATATCTTTATTGGCAGAACAAGGAGATTCCAAATTGGTGGAATGTAGAGGAAATGGGGACAATGTAGATGGATCCTTTTGCAGAAGAAGACTAATTATTCTGAGGAACAATTGCATAACTCCCATTCTGACACATGGTAGTTTTTGAATTAGAATCACTCCCAGCTATGCTTCCAGTGAAATTATATGTAACTGTTGATTATAGTTGTTTAAAGTCAGTGAGGAAAATGAGAACGCTACACTTCTTAGAGATATTTGAGTCTGTTTTTCTCTGCAGGCTAAGGTTGAACCTGACTTGAAAATTTATCATATGTGGCTTGAAATATTAGATCAAATTTTGAAATATATTATCTTGGTAAAATAATTTTATTTACCTAAATTTTTAAAGAATAAAGGAGGTGATACGGACATTCACCTTAAATTAATTTTTTTAAAAAATTATCTACATGTTTTAACTGTAGTTATTTGAGCTGTAAGGACCAAGAAGACCCTTTACAAATATAAGCTGATATTTTGGCATTCCCTTCTGAGCCTTGTCGCAATATGAACAACTAGAATATGGAGTGATTTATCTTCTCCAGTCTATTGAAATAAACACTCGGCTGAGTTCAGTGACGGTTTTATATCTCAGTGGTAGGAAATTTGGTAAATCCAAGGGCATATGATTAATTAAACAGGAAGTGTTGGAGACTGCTCTAAGCACCATTTAGACTCCAGTCGTAGCTCTTACCAATTGTTAATTTGGTAGGAAACTTGAGTTATCCAGTGGAAAATCTCACAAAAGCTGCTTTGCAAGCATTTTGATTTGCATAGAGATGGCAGCTGAAGGAGGTCGGTGAACAGTAGGTTAAATTGGTTCACTACACCTTTTCTATCTGGCCACAGGGCTCTTTATTTCTTTAAATGCCAGAGAGAAAAGCTTCACCTGGCATCTGGGACCTTTCTTTTCTTTTAGCTTTGGTTAGGAGCTAATGGCAAGTATTAATATGGTGCCTCCTATCATGCTATGCCTGCCTTATCTCTATGCTTGCTAGCTTCCGGTAAGGTCAGGGATTGTGCTGGGAGAAGTTAAGGGATCCATGCAGGGGTGGGATTCAACTGTTGTTACAACCAGTTTGATGAGAGTGCGTTTTGTGCGTGTGTGGAGCATCATCATCAACTGTGCTGTCTGGACAGCTAACAAGCGCTGCGTGCGGATGCACAGCATTTGAAAATCCTCTTCTTTCCTGCTTTTTCAAGCTCAGCTGTGCTGTGCAAAGCAGCTGAGGTTGAAAAAGCGGGAAATAAAGGACAGCCAAGAGCCTGGACAGGTGGGTGGGCCAAATGGACGACCAGAAGGTTGTCGCTGTGAACCGGTTCGGTGTTAGCTGCTCTACAGAGCTACCGGTTCTATAGAACCGGGCTGAACCAGTATCATCCCACCCCTGGATCTATGCTAGAAGCAAAGAGAGAGAGGCAAACAATGGAAACGAGGTAGAATTTCCTTCCTTGTTCCTTGCTTCTCTAGCTACAGCAGGAGCAAACACCATCTTCCCTCATGTTGGCCTCATTTGGAAGGACTGTTGGGAACAGGTAGAATTTTCTGAGTTTGGTTCTGAGTTCAGTTCCTAGGGGCAAGACAAGAAATAATGAGCGGAAGATCATTAAAGAGTGATCCAACCTAGAACTAAGGAGAAATTTCCTGACAGTGAGAACAATTAATCAGTGCAATGACTTACCTCCAGAAGTTGTGTGTGCTGTATCATTGGAGGTTTTCAAAAAGAAATTACAGCTGTTTTTCCAGAATAGTATGGGGTCTCCCACTTGATCAGGGGTTGGACTAGAAGACCTCCAAGGTCCCTTCCAACCCTATTATTCTATGATCTATGTTCTGTTTCTTTCCTTCTTGGACACAGGAGAAAGGCATAACACCAGGGGTAAGTGGAAAACCCTAAAACAGCTATAATGGGAGGACATACCAGTCACAAAATGGTCACAAAAGTAACTACAAATAACTTTTTAAAATGGTAGCCAAATTTGAACCAAACATTTCCAAACTACTCATACTTAGAAGACCCCAAAAATCATATGTCTAAAGTTTGGGAAACTAACTATGGCATAATAATTATTTCAGGAGCAGTAAAATATTAAGAACAGGAATAATGCAATGTTCAATTACTGTTTGATTGGATTTATAAAGCTACTTCTGGAAATGCTTTAACATCAACATATTGATAGAGTTATCTGTTTGCTATTCTGGTTTATCTTTCTGTAACTAACAAAATAGTAGTTGGTAAAGAACTGATGTAGATTTTTTTCCGTTGCTGCTACCTGATTTCCAGTTTGGGATGCTTGCTTATTCATTGACCTGCTGCAGGAACGATACATTTTTTACTCCTGCTGGATTAGGAATATAGAATATTAATCTTAAAACCCATGTAGTATTTCATGGAAATGAAACCTAAAGTTAAAAACATTAAATGTAATATTTTGTTGTGCAACCTAAACTCAGAATATATTCCTACATAAAGCATTGTTTTGTGTGACTTCAATTTTCTGCTATCTGTTTTTCTTTCAGCTTCAGTTTCTATTGTGCAGATATACCCAAGAGTTCATGCTATCTAAGAGGATAATTTGGTTGTATATTTCTGTTCTTTGCTTGATTTTGTCTCTGTTACACTCGGTTATATAGTTTGCACTTTTATTTCAATTCATATCTTGCTTCTTTTTATTTGATCGAAGTCATGCAAAATAATTCTTAAATTTGATGGATCCCAATTCAGCTGGGCTGAATGTAGTATACCTTTTGTCAGAGTTGCTTTGTTACTATTCTTGTCTTTTGTATCTTGGTGAGGGATGAAGACTGAAAATTGTAATTTTGAGAACACCATTTCCTTATGTTGTATTACCTTTAAAACAGGAAGTCTATAAAGTGTACTGTCATTTAAAGCCTAGTAGGCGTGGGGAAATTTATGAATACAAAGTTTGCATGCAATTGGCAGATAATATTTATTTTTCAAATTTACACTTAGCATATTTTTAGTGAAATAATGCTGTGGCTGAGAGGTTGAATTATAATTCCTACTCTACAAACACAAAATCCCTACTCTATAAACATTTTTATGGGTTTTTTTTTTCAGTGCTGCTCAAAAAATGGTCAGAGGTATTTTATTTCATCATTTTCATTGAGCAAGATGTTCTTTGTTGTTAGTAAAATCCTTATTAAATAATGTCAATTTTCATACAGATTTCTTTCTAGTATATAATTTGCAATGGCTTATGTAATTTGACATAATGAGGAAAATCACTGAGTAAAGACATTCACCACAGTAAACATTATTTAAGAAAGTTTCATCTCCCCCCACTGTGAATTTAGTGATTACTGACAAAATTACAGCCAAAATAAGAGCTCTGAGAGCAAGAGAGTTATTATGCTCAGGAAAAACCTGACAATGCACGAAAACTTTTTTTTCAACTTCATATTTAAGCCGAATTCCTCTAATAAGCATTATTTGTGGGATTGCTTAGGAGAAAGATAAATAAAGGTTAAAACAAATTATTTTCTTCTGTACTTAAATATTTAGGTTGGGTTAAAAGTCCTGACATACTTTGACATGAAGAGTATCTTCTGAGTTTTACTATATTTTGAAAACATACATGTTATTGTTGTGACAAATATGTGTTATTAGTATATACTGTTTTTTATTCCTTTTGCCATAGCTCATTTTTGCTTTCTTCTTCTTGAGTTGCTGTTAATATCATAAGGGATCATTTGAAATATTGAACTGCTTAAATGTTACACTACAGTCTACTTTTGTGTCATATCTACTTTTGCTATCCTTTGTAGGAAAGAAGACAAATATACCATGATTTAGTATGATACTAGAAAGAAATATTAATTCCCATTTAATTTTTTAAAATAATTTGCGGGTTGTGGGTCAACTGATTATTAATAATTTTGGTAAAATTGACATTTTATGGGCACTTGATTGAATATGTGGCTCTTTATTTCATTCATTCAGAAACAGGGCACAGGGAATTATTGTTGTGTTCTTTTTATCCTCTAGTTAGTAGTTCTTCTATTTCCTCAACTTCCTCAGCTTGGCCTGCAATAAATAAAAACATATATTACATTTGGTTGTTCAGATTTTACATGTATTCCAATAAAAGTAGAGTTGGAGTGACATCTGCCATTGTACAGGTTGTCCTCAACTTACAACAGTTCATTTAGTGACCGTTCAACGTTACAGTGGTGTGGAAAAAAGTGACTTAAAACCATATTTCATACTTTACTACTTAAAGCCATTGCAGCAACCCCATGGTCACGTAATCAAAATTTAGATGCTTGGCAACTGACTCATATTTATGATGGTTGTAGTTTCCCGGGGTCAGGCAATCTCCTTTTGTGATCTTCTGACAAGCAAAGTCAATGGGGAAGTCAGATTCACTTACTAATTTCACAACAGCAGTGATTCACATAACAACCACGGCAAGAAAGGTTGTAAAATGGGACAAAATTTACTTAACAACTGTCTCATTTAGTAACAGGAATTTTGGACCCAATTGTGGCTATAAGTCAAGGACTACCAACATATACAGTACATATAAGTTCTAATGAGAAACAAAGATCCAAAATCTTTCTGTGCTTTAACTGGTTTCTTTAAAATATTTAAAATAATCTTCATCATAATAAATTTTCTTTATATCTGGTAGCGACAGAAGAATATTACTTACAAAATGCTGTGTATGTTTCTGCTTCACTAATTCTCTATTTGTTATCAATTGGTGATTTAGCACCAGCTCATATTTCTTTTTTTTAATTTTTAGATCCTCCAAGAGAAAATGGTCAGCCATCACATTTACTGACTTCAGTGCTGATCCTGATTTTAGTGTTCATAATTTTAATTATTTTAGCTGGCTATTTCTTTAGGTATGTATGAATCAGACTCTTGATATGGAACTAGTTGTTTCTTGTTACCATGTGATCTCATAAGGAAATGAAAGTTGCACAGTGCAGCTGTGCTGTCTAGTTTCCCACATTAATCAGTGTTGTGGAGGGAGGATGTTACACACCGTTTCTGTGCATCAACTACAATATAACATAACTGGGGAAAAAATGATTAGAAGAACCTTTTCCAGAATTACTTGGTTTGTGAGCCACAATATAGAATATTTTTTGTAACTTATTTAGTCTCACGAGACCTATTCTGTGGTCTTCTAAATGCTTCTTATATTTATTAAGGTTCCGAAGACACAGGAAAGCGGTTGTAAATTCCACTGATAAAAAAATGCCAAATGGAATCTTAGAAGAGCAAGGTAATTATTTCTTTATTTAATTGTATATAAATATGTACTTCTTTTTATAATGTAATGTTGAAAGGGGAAACAAATAGATTTCACAGGATTCAGTTGTTAGTGTATTTGAGAACTGTTCCTTTTTAGAGAAGATTTGTTCACATATTGTGTTCACATATTTTTGTTCACATATTAATGTTTCCATTTACAGTATATTACAATTTGGTTCAGAAAGATCTTTTTTGAAACATTGCATTGCATTAAGTTATAATGTCAGGAGTTCCATTTAAATATGTGTTAGATGTAGAACTAATTTTATATGTAAATTTTCATGGAATCAATTTTGAACTGCATGAATAATTATTTTAAATAAGTAACTAAATGACAAACATGATAAACACAACTGTAAAAAATATGAATTAACATGTAAAGGAGGAAGGTCAAAAGAAATTTGAGTTAGTTTCTGTACGTGCTGAACACCCACATAACTTCATCATGTAAACAATACAATACAATAACACATACATTTCTTGCATTAACAGTTTCAGTAGTTTAAGACATTCCTTTTGTAAATCCAAAATAAGAAAACATTCCAAATCATTCTTCTGATTTATTATTTGTATGCACTCTTTAGTTATTGAGACATTAGCTGGTTTCAGATGTAAATCTATTATAGAATTCTTTTCTACATCAGAATCCATTTTTCAGAAAAAAAAGTATTTGAAAAGACTGTAAAGCTAGTAATTCTTGTGAAGTTTTCCATTTATGTTTAGCTGTACAGATGTGGTCTTAATTTTAAGTCTTTGTTTTAAATGTGCAATGGAAGTAAAATATACATTGCTTTTTGGCTATGCATATATTACAGCCAGCTGGATTATTGCAATGCACGCTATGTAGGACTACCCTTGAAAAGTATCTGGAAGCTTTAACTACTACAGAATGAAGCCGTGTAAGTCATATTGGGTGCCCAATGAAGGGTACACCCTTGCTCCATGAACTACACTGGGTGCTAGTTTGCTTCCAGGTATAGTTCAAGGTGTTGATCATTACCTGGCATAGGCACCAGGATACCTATAGAACTTACTTCACTGCATCAAATCAGCCCATCCCACTCAATCAAACATGGGGGGTACTGCAGACACATCAGTCAAAGAATTTTGGCTAGTTGGATCTGGGAAGAGAGCCTTCTCTGGCATTACCACTGCATTATAGAACATCTGCCCCCAGAGGTGAGGCCATGCCATATCCTTCTGGCCTTCTGCAAAGGAGTCAAAACTTGGCTCCATGGCTTTGCCGGGGGAGGTACAGAAGACCATGCATCCATGTGGCTGACTGGCCCCATGAGAGCCCCCCGTCTGTATTATCTAATGCTGTGGCCATCTTGGATCTTTTTTTACCTGTTTGAAATTTTATAATGTCATAATCTTATAATTAAAAATAATCTTAAATTAATTTTAACATTTTAATGTTAATTTTATATGTTGCCTATAGGTTGATTAGACTGGACACAATCCAGAGTCCTTCTCTGAGAGAGGTGGGTGGTTTAGAAATATTAAATATAAATACATAAACACATACTGTGTGCTTTCATCTCCTTTTCACAGAACAGCAGAGGGTGATGCTTCTCAGGCAGTCTCCTTCTGGCCCAAAGAAGTATTTTCCTATTCCAGTAGAGCTCCTGGAAGAAGAAATCCGGATAAGAGCAGCTGATGATGGGAAGTTATTTCGGGAAGAGTTTAATGTAAGTTGCCCTTATTTTGTTACTTCATTTTGGTCTTCTTAAATGAAAGATTGCAAATAAAGTGAATGAATTTTTAAGGGAACAATAAAAATTGCTTTTGTATTTATAAGGTTTCATGCTTTGGGGTTGTTCAGATTTTGTATGGTCCTATGCTGTGTAAACTCTTATTAATACTATTATTATTAACAAAATCAGAGTTTAAAGGGGTCTCTGCCTTTTTTTTGGAAATGAGATTTCCAATCCTATATCTTGCTGCTATTCAGCTAAGTCAGGGTGTCAAACTTGCGTCGTCATGGCATTGTCATGTGTTGTATTGGGACTTTTTTCCCCTTCGCTAAACCAGGCACGGGCGTGGCCAGCACATGACACATACGGCCCATAGGCCGTGAGTTAAGTGGCAAATTCATTAACATTTTCCATGTTTTACATTATCATGAGTAATAATCTATATTATTACTATCCGTAATAATATCTGATGCCTGACACCCAGAAACTCTTACATCTTACAGAATCCTTATGTTTTAGTTTTGGGAATTAGAATTATGTAAACTTCATAACGATTCCAAAACATTTAAAACCAGGTGACAAAGCAAAGCAATACTAAAATAATATTGAAATATGACTGCTTCTTCCTTGATGTGTTATTTGGACCCAAACATTCTGGTTTTAAAACCATGGTTTAAATTTTAAACCTAATCTTTGTGGTTTATTTCAGTAAAACAGGGATGTTAGCTCTTATGTGGTTAGTCTCTCCTGTATGTTGCTTCTTTCATAATTACAGATCCTTCTTCTTTCCAGAATTATAAACTCTGCCTTTTAAAAGCCATCCAGTTTTTTATGCTGTGGCAGAATATTTGATAACTACCATCCCTAGCCAGAGAGGCCAACAGCAAGCAATTGTAGGATCAAAAACATCTGGAAGGCAATAGTACTTTTGCTTTCTTCTAGGATTTTTTTTAAAGAAAAACATGGTTAGTAAGTACTTTTTAAAGACACCTAATTGTTGTGGCTTCGGGTTTGGATTCTGCTCCTGTGGCAGATATGAGTTCAAGTGAGGAAGACATGGCAGAAAAATATGAACCGGCATTGCTGAGTGATTGGAATAGTAACCAGGATGAGGAGATGGAGGTAACAAGGGATGACAGACCTGAAATATTAGAGTGGTCAGAACCTTCGACCTCCTCTGGTGCTTTATCTAATCAGCAGCCGGGAATGGATGACAGGGAAGGAAGGAGGGAGTTTTCCAGCGGAGATGAGAATCTGGAAAACTTATGGTTAGACGTTAGGAACAGGAGACGACTAAGGAGACAAACCCAGTTAGAAAGAAAGAGAAGAGTGAGCCAATAATTAGGGTAATTAGCACATGGCTTAAGTATAAAAGGACACAGCTGGCCTGGTGGAATTCGCCAGAAGCAAAGTGACTTATTGAGTGAGGACGTTACAGCAAGAAGCTCTGAGGCTTGAGATTTATTGCCAAGACTGGTTTGCCAGACAGAGTAAAGATTTATGCTGTGGATTGGGATTTCTGCCAGCCATTATCTTGTGAGACTTTATTTTGTTTGAATTACTTCTGAAACGGCTGCTTTCTGTTTTGCTCGCTTGAATTTGAAGGGGAGTCATAACACCTAATGGTGAAGAAAGATAATCATAACAGCTATTCCATTTCAATCTCCCTCTCATGGAGGCTGGAAATAGTGAGGTTGAAGACCCAAAAATCTCAAGGACACCAAGTTAAGAAGGATTGATTTAAAACTTTCTAAATATAGTATCTCACTTCAGAGGTCAGAATATATTTTTTGCTTCCTGCTGCATTGTGGGGCTGGCGAATAGCTGATAATCTCTCTCTGGCTTCTGAAGACCAGTTGCATTAAAATGAACTTACCTTCGGTTCTGGTTGGGTTTCAGCAGTTCTCTGAGGTAGCTATGATGTTGACATGTTTACATTCATTTTAAGTTTATCTAAGTGAAAAAGTTGCCAATTAAACTGCCAGGCCTGGCTTTGTAATTGCCAGGACTGTATATCAGCAATTACAATTACTTGTTTAAAACTTACCTTTTCAAGTCTGAATTAATCTGGATATATTGAGTCTCATGGTTAAATATGTTAGGAAAAGACAACAATACAAATCTACAATAAAAATGGTCGTGCTTAAAATGGGTATCAAAGTTGATTTTATGCTTGTTCTGTGTTTGTTTCTCAAGCTTTCTGGAGAAATACTGAAATAGAAACAAGTCTTTAAAAAAATCTCCCTTGCCTCACATAACAAAGGGAAGTTCAGTTTTCCAGTTTTACACAATTTGTCTAATTATGCAAAGAAAACAAAAGTTCTCAAAGGGCAAAGTAATTTTTTTAAAAGCTTCCATGAAAACTCACTTTTTACTTTTATTGAAGTGAAATTAAAAACCAGAGTATCAAAATAAGATATAGTATATTTAGTTTTATTTTATAGTTACTTGTGGTCAAGTTTTCAGTTATTTATGTTCCTGTGTGTGTGTGTGTGTGAGAGAGAGAGAGAGAGAGGGGGGGGGAGGGGGAGGGAGGGAGGTGTGATGGTCTGTTAAAAGAAAAAAAAATTACGAAGCCAAAGCAAGCGAACATATTGCAGCAACAAATATGACACATTTATGTTGTGGCAACAGAATGTAACCAATGCAAGATACTTCCTTATTAGCTAGTAAACATTAATTCTACAGTCTTTAGAGTGACTTAAAACATCACCTGATTAAACCCAATGATGATTAAAACCATGATGTATTTATTTATTTATCAATCAAACTCTTAACTGTCCATCTTCCTCACAGAGGGGCTCTACATGTATAAGCTTTGTTCCCCTTATTATTTTATTAGGGTTTTCAAGCATCCATATACACCCACTTTTGTTAGTGTATTTGTAGTAAGAGCAAAAGGCTGAACTTCCTTCATATTGCAATAGCATATGATCAATGGAGACAGCTTCTGATCAGTTTAGCAGTAAAGTAAATTATTGTAAGTCTCCATTCACACAGCAATAGCACTTAGACTTTTATATTGCTTCACAGTGCTTTACTTCCCTCTCTAAGCAGTTTAGAGTCAGCCTATTGCCCCCAACAATCTGGGTCCTCATTTACTGACCTCAGAAGGATGGAAGGCTGAGTCAACCTTGAGCCGGTGAGGTTCGAACTCCTAGAGTGAGCAATGAGTTAGCCTACAATACTAACCTAATTTCTTTTAAAATCAGTTGTAGAAATACAACATTTATTTGTAAATTAACATTTACTCGTTGTAGAAATACAACATACATTCTGCCTTGTCTTAACTTGGACCTGTGCAATTCTAAAGGTATATTCTCTCCCTGTGAGATATATATAATAATAGAGTAAGTAATCATGAGGTGCATTTTATTCCATTAAACAACCAAGAAGTATTTATAGAACCTGATCCTCACCTGCAGTTTATCCTAAGCTCTCGCTGAGCAAAATACCTGTAATTTATAATTAAGATGTCTTACATTTAAAGTTAACACTATCTTGCAGCAGCTTCAAGATGTGCAAAATGTGTAAGGTCAGCTGATATTATTGTGGGTGTCATCTGAGTTGCATTTGGGAAGGAATGGACATGTTAATTCATCCTACCATCAGTATTCAGATCAGCTATTTTTTCTCCCAAAATTTGCTGCCTTCAGTTAGCATTTTCTTTCTGAGTCCCTTTCATAACCATTCATACCTCCTCCTATATATTTTTTTTACCATTTTCTCTCCAGGCTTCAACAGAAAGACATCAGAGTTCCATTATTTTATCTCATGAAGAAAATGAATCTGTGAACTCTCTCTCTCTCTCTCCCTTTCTCTCCCTTTCTGCCCTGTCTCTTTCCCTCTCTCCTGCTCTCTCCCTTTCTTTCTCTCCCTCTGTCTCCCCCTCCTCTCCCCCCCACATCTCTCCTAGCTATACTGAGTGACCTGTGTGTTTGTTCAGATCTGGAATAGCGATTGACCAGGAGTATGCTGGGTGCAAATTAAATCTGAAATTATACACAGTAATTTTTTTGAAAGAATTGCATTTGTTGTTTATTAGCTTCAAGTCTTCAAGTTATCAATTTTAGTTCTCCCCTTTTATAAGACCTAACCAAATGCAGAATATTGAAAATATATTTCTCTTCTTTTGAGGGATATTTCTGCTTTGGTATCTTTCTGTGTCACTTTGAATTAATTGAATTAATGTTGAATTCATATTAATTTTTGAAAATGAACTGAACTAATTCCCAGAGGGGGTCTCTGCTGAGGAGTAGACAAATAACCCTCCAAAGAAAGCCAGACAGAGTTGAGAAATCAACCCACCCTCATTCTGGCGTCAGTGTTATGATTGGTTGATGTTTCCCCTGTTGCCTACTGGTGACATGGATTGGCAGTAAATAAAAAGATAAAGCCAGCTCTCTTGTCTATGAAGTCTGGATTGGCTTCACTCATTGAGCAATGATTTGGAACTAGAGGCAGGATAAAGTTTGCAGTGAGTACAGCCTGTATCAATCATGAGTAGTTCTTTAACTCAGTAATCGGAAAAGCCAGTTTTTTTTTGTAGGAGTAAGGCATCACACTAGAAACTGAAAATGTGAGTTCTAGTTCTGCCTTAGGCACAAAGCCAGTTGGGTGACCTTGGGCAGGTCATTTCCTCCTAGTCCTAGAAAGCAATCAATGACAAACTTAATATACTTCTGAAAACCCTTGCCAAAAATACTACAGGGACTTGTACAGAAAGTCTCCAAGAATCAAATATGATTGAATGGAAAAATATTATATAAATTGGAAAATTATATCATTCCACCTTATATTGTATAGATCTGGTCCCTCAAGTGTCCAGTTCTATTCTGGGCATCACACTTTTAATATTTCCAAAAACATCACAAAGAATACCAGGGAGGTTTATCAGAGAATAAGACTTCTAAGTCCTTTGAAAAATGGTCTGAAAATGGAGCCACTATCCACAAATGATGGGTTCCCTTCACTGGATGTGCTCAAGATATAGATATATGATTGCTTATAGACAGTCATCTATAAATTTATATTCAGCACTGTTTGCAATTTGCATTTGTATACATGAAGCTGTACATCTTTTGCCCCTGCATCAACTTCACACATACGTGCAAAGGCCACAAGACTTCAATTGTGTGATTGCAATTTTTTGACCCTATTGAGTGTGCCATTAAAGTGCATGTGACAAAACCAAAGCTTTGCACAGCCTTACTAATTTCCACTTTATCAGAGAGTTATACGGACATGATTGCATTTATAAATTCTTATTTTCAGTGCATGCTATTAAGAAGTTGAATTCTATAGGTATTACTGTTAACTCTGCTTTCGGTTATATTTTATATTTACCAATATGAATATTTACAAACCTAAGCAAGAAGATTACTTAACAATTTTAAGTAAAGATAGACAGCTCTTATTCAGGGTAGATTTATGATATCTGTAATACGTAAGTCATTTTCAGATAAGAAGTTTATATCACACACACACAAAATAAAGGCCTATGTAGCTTAGCAATAGAGTTTGTTCCTTGCTTGGTGCATTTAATAATTTTTGAGATGAGTTTCAGGATGAATGTATGACCATTAATATTCTGATATAGATAATATAAAATTTCATAAAGTATAAAATGTATTTTAATCATCAACTCTTTTTGTTATTGGTTGCTGTTTTAAGTCAGACAATTTATATCTTCTGTAGTCATTACCACCTGGATATTTGCAAGGAACACTTGAGATGGCAAACAAAGAGGAAAACAGAGAAAAAAACAGATACCCCAACATATTACCTTGTAAGTATTGCTGATACATATATTTCAAAATTCTAAATAGTCCAGTATGATCAGGCAGCTGTCGTGTTAAAAACAGCTAACAAAGATAGGCAACTGTCTTATGAGATCAAGGCTGATAAATTTAAGGTGGTATAAACATCTGTTTGTTTGTTTGTTTAATGATATTTATAAGTAACCGTAGTCCTTTTTTAGGCAGCATTAAGGTTTGAATGTGGGATGAAAATAGCATTAGTCGAAAATAGCATTAGTGTTAGGTGGCAAAGGTTGGACACGAGTGGCCCATGTCCTCTTAGCAGTTTTTGATGGCATCCTTCTGGACTAGCTCTGGGGATTTGGGATTGGCAGCACTCTATTGTGCTTGTTCTCCTCCTTTCTCTGGGATTGATATCAGTTGGTGATAATGGGGGGAGAGAGATCCTGTCCTCTGCACTTATTATGGGAGGTACCACAGATTCAGTGCTTTATTCTCTCCTATTCAATATCTACATGGCTGCTGAGTGAGCTCATCCATCACCATCTGGTGAGGTATTATCAGTAGCTGAGGATACTCAATTATACATTTCTGCCCTTTAGCAAATTAAACAGTGCTGTTGATGTCATATCCCAATGCCTGGAGGCTATGGGCCTGGACGGTATGAGGATGTGGTTGGGGAACAACAGGCTTCAACTTAACCCTAGAAAGTTTGAATGGTTCTGGTTTTTTTATGGAGCGTGTCAGTTTTGGGACTATGCTATCTTTGATACTGGGTAGATTGCACTGCACCAGACAGACCATTTCTCATCATGTAGGTCTTCCTAGACTCATGAGTCTTGCACAAAGAACAGATGGCAGTTGTGGCTAGGAAGATCTTTGCACAGCTTTGTGTTATGTTGCAATTATTCCTGAATCAGGAAGCTCTGCTCATGTTCACTTGTGTCCTGGGCAGATTATTGTAATGGGGGCCATCCTTAAAACGTTTCTGGAAACTTCAGCTGCTACAGAATATGATAATGTGGGCAGTTATGTGTGCACCTAGAGTGGCACATATTACACACCTGCTCCACCTGCTGCCTTGCCTGCTTCAGAGTTCTAATCAAGGTGCTGTTTTTCTCTTTAAAGCCCTTCATGGCATGGGGCCAGGTATTTGATCTGGTTGATCTGGTTACATCTGCCCGTCCCATGAGGTCTTGCAGAAGAAGTATGTTTTTGGCCCTTCTGCCAAAGAGTTACATCTGGTGGGACCCGAGAGATAGACCTTTTCTGCCCTGGCACCTATTCTATGAAACATCAGTCCTGAAGTGAGACTGGCCCTATCTCTGCTGATGGGACTTCCAGAAGTTCCTCAAATCCTGGTTGTATTAACAGGCCAGTGGGTCACAAGGGAAGTGGTGATCTGATGAGGTTGTTCCATTACTTGTGGCATCTGGCGATATCTCCTAAGCTTTTTAATAACAATTGTAATTTTTCTATTTGTTCAATTTCTTAAAAAATAGCTTTTATTGTTTGATAGTATACTGCCCAGAATTACATTTCATGAGATGATGGACCATAGAATTATAATACATACATATGTACATCATCATCCATCCATCCATTCATCATTACATACATACATACAGTACAAACATACAGTACATACGTGCACACACATACACACATACATGCATGCATACATGCATGCATACTTACCCTGTGGAGTTTGCAATTCAAAATGTAATATATTATAATAAAAGTCCCATAGGTGCTTTTTCAAGAGGCAACTGGATTTTCTGGGTTTTCTGCTTTTTTTTGGAAGCTTCTTGGATGAGAAGCAAAACGTCTTTGAAAAAAAATCAGAAAATTCAGTTGCCTCTTGAAAAAGCACCTTTGGAACAACCATGACCTGAGTGACTGAGAATCTCCATAGACCTTATTACAAAAGAATTAAAATAATAACACTCTCACTTATATATCTGACCCAGGACAATACACATATATTTGCATATTTAATAAGAGAGAAATTATCAAGTGTGACATAAAAATAACAACTACAATTACTATGAAATTAGAGGAAACTTCAGAATCCTATTCTCCTGGCCTAGCCAGCATCAATTCCCTAATCAAACTATCTTGCAATATTGCTTTTATAAGTTGTTTCAGATGATACCTGCTTTTTCTCATCTTTGGTGCCAGCAAATGAACAAGTTCACTTGCAGAAATTGCATATTATTTTAAATGTAATCATTCATATTAATATAAGCCAATAAAATCATGTGCCTGAAGAGTGTATACAATCAAAAAGAGCACTAGACTGTTAAGGGAATGTGTCTGTTGCTTTTCTAGAAGGTTGTCATGTTGCATGCCACATAGCTGGTGATTTCACACTGTTGAAAGATAATTTATTTTAAAATTCTAATCTGATGCTGAAATCTTCTTGGCTTGTTGCCCAGCAACTTAATTCATTCATTTCTGGGGATTATATAGGAAATCAAATTTCCAGAAACTTCTTGTAGAATTCAGTGAAGTTTTCCAATTACAGAGGAAAGGAAGTACTTTTTCACAAACTTTAGGGCCTGGATAGATTCCAGAGACACCTTGGTGTTTTCTCTGAAGATATGGTTGTAGTTCAGGTGGGCTAGGTAGAATAGCTGAAGTCCTGAATTGGATTGCTCCTTTGTAGTCTCTCCTTATATATCCCTCCTGCAGTTCACCTCAGTTCTTCAAGGAGTTGCAGGAGATGAAATTCCAGAAGAGATGTCTGAAACACTAGTGGTGGAAGATTAGGAGCAAGTCTGACTGAACCTGACTAAGAGTCAATATGCTGTTTTAAGGACTATTCTTGCTGTCTGACAGATAAAATCATTCAGATTTATTCAGAGTTGGACTCCAGTTGGACAGGGATTAGGATATAGGATTTACATGGCTGTGACTGCTGAAGAAGTGGACTGGGTCCCCGGAACTCTGAGCGCAGCTATCTATCTGTTAGTTAGATTAATGTTTTTCCTGGTTGGTCAAAGGCCCAGGAGGTGACCTGTAATTGGGTCCATGCAGTGGTATTTGCTTCTTTGAGGGAGAAGGTCTTTCTGTGGTATGCCTTTTTCCTCAAGAAACTATCAAAGCCCTGGATAGTTTCTGCCCAGTCTTCAGCTTTTAATTTTTCATCATTAGTGCTCCAGGCATCTCTTCTGGCGCTTCATCTCTTGCAGCTCTTTGGAGAATCACAGTATACTTGTCAGTGGAGCTTCAAACTCCAGAGGATCCAGGAGGAGACAGATAGTCTGGGCCCTTTTCAGGCAGGTTACAGCGCAGAGATAGTTTTGGTCATGCTTGTTGATGGTCTGTGACAAGGTTGGATGGGAGTAGTGCAATCATCCTTCTGTTTCTTAATTTCTTAGTAGTTTTGGATACAGGTGATCATGGTATCTTTTTACACTGGCTGCAAGGCTTGAGTGGGGCACTGTTTTGCTGTTTTTATTTCTTTGTGGTTAGTTCAGTTAGTCCATGACATCTCAAAATGTCACCCCTTTTGTTTATCATCTACGGAGAAATGGTGATGTCATCTGTCAGTTCAGAACCATGTACCATCTGTGCATCAATGTAGTACATATACCCAAATATGCATCTAAATTCCAAGACAAGCAAGTGATGCTGTCAAGCTTCTGTCCCAGTGGAAGTGGAAGCTGTGCAGAACTGGATGGAAAGGAACACCCTTCGGTTAAATCCTGTACCAAGCCTTTGTGTCCTCAGGGCCTGGGGATCTTCCATCTTTGGTTTTGGATGGGACTGCACTTGTTCATCAAGACTAGTATGTAATCTGAGGGTCATCTTGAATTTACAGCTCCTGCTTGAAGAGCAAATGGAAGCTCCAGATAAGTGGATCCTTCCACAGATATATCTAGTATGCCAGTTGTACTTTTTCCTGGACTAGGAGGCCATTCAAATAGTCACTCATGCTTTAATCATTTCACAATTGGATTACTTTAACACACTCTATATGGCTCACCCTTGAAAGCCACTCGGAAGCTACAGCTCATTGAGAATGCAATGGCATGGGGAGTAAGAGACATGGCTTGATATGCTCAGGTGACCCAACAGTTTCATGAGCTGTACTGGTTACTGATTGACTTACAAGTACAATTCAAGGTCCTGGTTATCAACTGTAAAGTCCTTCATGGGCTGGGGCCTGGTTGTTGTTTGTGAGGTTGCCAATTTCCAGTTCTTTTTGTCCATCCAGTGATATCAGGCACATTCAATATGCTTTGGATCCCATCATTATGCATGGTCTACTGGGACCCAGAAACCATGCCTTCTGTGTTGTAGTAGCTGCCTTCAATAATGGCAGAGGTCTGGATGGTTCCACCCTGAGATCATGCAAGAAATTATTAAATACTTAGCTGTGCTGTCAGGCTTTGGGATAGGGTGATGGTTAGATGATTTTCAAAAAGTATTTTTTGTCAAGTTGTTTATTATGTATTTTTTGTTGTTTTTCTTTTTTTCTTATGAGCTGCCCAGGGTTGTTGGGAATCAGGTGTACTCTATATGAGCCATGGTGGTGCAGTGGTTAGAGTGCAGTACTGCAGGCTACTTCTGCTGACTGCTGGCTGACTGCAATTTGGCAGTTCAAATCTCACCAGGCTCAAGGTTGACTCAGCCTTCCATCCTTCCGAGGTGGGTAAAATAAGGACCCAGATTGTTGGGGGCAAGATGCTAATTCTGTAAACTGCTTAGAGAGGGCTGTGAAGCACTGTAAAGCAGTATATGAGTCTAAATGCTATTGCTACATTCATATACAGGTAGCCCTCGACTTAACAACCATAGTTGGGACAGGATTGCCATCATAAGTTCATTGTGGCTGTAAAGCCACATGAATACTTTGCTTAGCAACAACAATCTTGACAATTAAGTGAATTTTATCAATCATTAGCCAAGAATGTATCCCATTCCAAGCCATTCCAGGCTTGGTCTTTTCCTGTCCCAAACTTCAGTAATGTAGCAGGCTGCTTCCAACTTCCTACACCTCTCTATCTCTCCCTCCCACCTTTGCCCCTTTTCTGCCCTGCACCCCACAGTGCAGGATAGCAAATAGTCCCAGAACTATTTAGTTGGAAAGCCTCAATCCTCCCAGTCCATCTTCACCAATTTTGGGGGTTTTTTTTGTTCTTGCTGCTTACAAGGCATGCCTGGCTTGACTGTGGGGTGGACTGGGTTTTATCTGCAGTGGGGAAAAAAGTCAAAAGCAGTCCCTGAATGGAAGCATGCCAAAATGTTTCTTTTTCAAAAACCTAAAGCAAAGTTGTGCCAGGCTGGGCACAACTCATCAGAAGTGACAGCAAAAAACAAATAAATAATGAAGATGAGGTAGGGCAGCTGTGGCTTCCTGGGATATGACAAATAATCCCAGAGCTGTGTAATTGTGGTGCTGCTTGTCATCCTGCAATAGAGAGTGCAGAGTGGCCAAAGGACAAAGATGTGGGGAGATAATTGAATGGGGGGAGTTGGAGCGCCCCTGTGGTTATTAGTGAAGGTAGACTGCCAAGCGCCCAAATTCTGATGTGACCTTTGGGGTGCTGGAACAGCACAGATTGTAAGTTCAGTTTTCAGCACAGTTGTAACTTTGAACAGTTGCTGAATTAATGGTCACCAGTCAAGAACTACTTGCATGTATGAATAAATCAGTAAATAAGTTGATAAACCATGGGATTTTCTCCCATGAAAGTATGGTGTTAACTATTGATGCTTTTCTCCTTGTGTTGAACTGAGATGATAGATAATCCTATTTTGTTCTGAAAGTATTTGTTATACTCAGCCTCAGCTGTGCTTTTGTTTTGTTGTATTGACTTTATTTTACATTTTAGTTCTTTAATTTTATTTTAAAAATATATTATCGTGTGCAACATCTCAGCTTGTATATGAGCAGTAGGATTCCTCGGTGCGAGCCTAATCGCTGCCTTCAATTTCTTTTTCAGCCGCTGGCATTCAGGATCAAACCAACAAGGTCTACCCACTCAGGCTCTTTTTGTAGCTGGTTTAGTTGTTAGGATTTGTTCAGGATATTACAAAGATTAGAGAATGTGTCGAAGACTGACCATCAGTCAGTAGTAGATGACTGGATTGTTCTAGCCCAGTTGGTAGCATTCTCTGCTTTAAGGCAGTCTGATATTGCCTTACTACCAATTTGAGCCAAAATTAACCTTTTATTTTGGGTCACCTCTACCTTTATGGTGAGCCATCTGTCAGCCATGTTATATGGACTTAGATCTGAGCAGCCTTTCAATGTCACGCTTTCATGGTCATGGTCATGATGATGATGTTTGATTTCATTGAAGATGAAGATGATGTTTGATTTCATTGTACGAGGTGCAGTGACAATAAAGGAAACTAAACTAAATTATAGACTGATGATCGCTATCATCACTAAAGTGTACCGTAACCTCTGAGAAGAGGTTGACTTTATCTCTAGAAACACAAAACAGATCCAGCACACCGCTTGAATGGGCCAAGTTGTATGTGTAAGGATGTGTATAATTCTTATACTTACCTCCCAGAATTGGGAAATTACCCTTAAAAATTAAGGAGACTAGGAACAGGCCAGCAGCATTACTTTTGTGGTTTCTAAAGAGCCCCTGAGGATGATTATCGAATAACTCCCCTGGGGACTCTTCTGAGTGAACTCATACAAAGAAGGACCCAACCTAGAATTAAAATCTCCTATGGACTGAGGGTACAATACAGATATATTGTCTAGGATAACTTCCAATGATACAGAAATATAATTTTATGTCATTTTATTCTATTTTATATATTTATGTATTAAATTATTGTATTTTATCCTCTATTGTATTTTACCCTACTCTCATTTTAAATTGTTTGTTTGGAATGTTATTGTTAATATGTGCTGGAACCTGTACGTTGATATGGCCTATAGGCTAATCAATATATATATATTGATTATAGTTCCTCTATATTGGAGGAACTTCTGATTGGTTTATATATATCACAGAAAACAAATAATCATATGTGTACATGCCTATGCATTTATGCCAAGCACAGGGATGATAGGTATATCATATCAACTTGTCCATCTGACCTTGCCAAGAACAGGAGGTTTATCGTGACAGATTTCAGTTAGCTGTGTCAAAACAAAGCCACACCAAAGGCAAGAAATGTTTTGTTTATACCAGATGGTTCTAGTTAAAAATAGAGAGGGTGAAGCCACCGTACACAAGTGTTCCATGCCAAGGATGAGGCAAGATATCAAATAGAATGTTTAAAATTAGCTGATGTAGTGCACTAAATATTTGGATAAATTTCACTATGTATTTGAAATAGATAATGTTATGTACAGTATTTAAGGGAAAGAGGGACATTCTACTCTCCATTTCTTCTTCCCCATACATCTGGTAGGACCACCACCTCTATAAAAGCTTCCTATGTGAACAGTCTGTGTGTTGTGGACAAATCTGATGTAGGTTAGTGACTTACAGGTTTTCATCTAACCTACTTCAGGATCATTCCTTCCAGCCAGCCATAAATTCTGTGCCTCCGTGGCCATTTCTGCCTTGGCTGTTGAAAGTAAGTCTTGCCTGAAGCCTTTTTTTTCAATCATAGGAATAATGATCTGATGGAAAACCTTCCTCCAAGATTAATACTCCTATTGAAAAATAGTGAGGATTAGATTCCAGTGTTTATATCCAGAATATAATCCAGTAGTATTTATAAGTATTTGTAAAGTAGTCTAGAAATCATCCAATGGAAGAAGGCAACAAATTTAAATTAATTTAAATGTAATTAATTGTATTAATTTGGGCACAATTAAAGCTGCTTTATCTTTATTAGTCTCCCTTATGGGAGGGTCTTACCAGATGATACTATTTTAGGTGGTGACAAGATTCTCCTAGAAAGTATTAAAGAATAATATTTTTTTCTGTTCTTGAGATTCTAAAGAAGAGCCAGTAGTGACCAAATTGATATGGTGTTGTTTTTGACCATACTAGAAGCCATGCCCAATTAGAATGGCCATGTGAAGACCAGGGAGTAGGGAAGGATGGCATCAGCTGGCGGAATGATTCAGCCTGGGTATCACAGCTGGGTAACTGAGTTTGAAGAATGTAGATTCCCCAACATTGAGCTCCCACTTCTTTAGTCGTCCTGCCAACTTCTCTCCTCACTAGAGTTACAAGGTTATAATCCCCACCAACAACTTTTGAGGGTACCAATGTTGCTGGCTTTATTTCAATCAAAAGAAATGCCATGGGAACAGCAGCTTTTCATGTCATATATTTTCCTTCTGTTTCAAAGACATGAGATAACACATCATTCATGGTGTGAGCAAGAGTCCTTGTAATAATTGTAAAAAGGGATTAGATACATTCATGAGACCAGTTACTAATTCTGATGTCTACTAATTATTTCTAGGAGAACAACAGGGGAGTGTTATGTGAGGACATTAGAACTTCATTATGTTTCTAATCTGGGAATCACCATCAGGAAAATGTGTCATAGTTTTATTTGTGAAGAAGTGTCTCTAAATTACTTGGTCTATGTCCATTTGTAGTGGTAAAATTAATGTCACCGTTAAACTGGAAGCCAATGAAATTAGTACATGGGATTTTAATTCAGGATACCTTATGTTGCTATTAATCATTATTTCTTACTTCCTAAGATTTTGCATTTATATTTATTATACACTGCTAAACTGAAGCTTTAAAAATCATTATTTTAGTAGCATGAATGCATGGTGTTATTCAGTATAGAACCTATAATATAAATAATCATACATTCTTGCATCAACTTTTTTAGGTTAGTTTTTTTTCAGAAGGAAAGGAGCTTTATCCACATTTCATCCATATTAGAGATAAACAGTTCTAACTGAGTGTTCATTTTTACAGATGATCATTCCAGAGTAACTTTAATGCAAATAGATGGATTTCAGTGTTCAGACTATATCAATGCTTCATATATAGATGTAAGTGAAATCCTTTTCTTATTCAGTTATTTATTTTCTCAAAATAACTACATAATGTTTTTAAAAGCATTTCTAATGTATATTCTCCTAAAAATAACACACATTTTTATTTTCTCATAGGGCTACAAGGAAAAGAATAAATTTATAGCTGCTCAAGGTATCTTTTGGTTTCTATTGTTTGATAGGTTTTTTTTTTTAATATTTTGTACTTTTGCTGTGCAAAACAACTTCAGAAATATTTTGTTTAGTCTAAAGTAAGATTTTAAGGATTTTGTATATTGGTTTTATTTATTCTGTGGTTAATGAGTATGCCAAAATACCTAAGTGTTTTTTCTGGAGAGTCGTTAGATTGAATAAGAAGTTACTGAGAATGCATGTAACTTCTTATTTATTATTGGAAAGGCAGTGGTGCATAGTGTGAAAGGAAAAGGGAGAAGCATGCAATTTGTCTTGACTTCACTCTTTATATTTATTTTTTTATTTATTTATTTATTTATTTATTTGATTTGCCAATTGTTTACAAGATAATAAGTATAAATGTATACATAGTTGTGAATACATGAAATGGGTACATATAAGAAAAATAAAAGAATAAGAGAAACAATAGGACAGGGACGGTAGGCACGTTGGTGCGCTTATGCATGCCCCCTACAGGCCTCTTAGGAAAGGGGTGAGGTCAATAGTAGACAGTCTAAGGTTAAAGTTTTTGGGGTTTGGGGAAGAAACTACAGAGTCGGGTAGAGTATTCCAGACATTGACCACTCTATTGCTGAAGTCGTATTTCCTGCAATCAAGTTTGGTGCGGTTTACTTTGAGTTTGTATCTATTGTGTGCTCTTGTGTTGTTATGGTTGAAGCTGAAGTATTCATTGACAGGTAGGACATTGCAATGTATGATTTTATATACCATGCTTAAGTCAGACCGAAGACGGCGTAATTCAAGGTTTTCAAGTTCAAGAATTTCAAGTCTGGTGGCATAAGGTATTCTACAACGAGTAGAGGAGTGGAGAACTCTTCTTGTGAAATATTTCTGGACTTTCTCAATTGTGCTAATATCAGATACGTAGTGTGGGTTCCAGACTGATGAACTGTATTCGAGTATTGGTCTAGCAAATGTTTTGTATGCTCTGGTTAGTAGTGTGATATTACCAGAGAAAAAGCTACGTAGGATTAGGTTAACAACTCTTAATGCCTTTTTGGCTATGTAGTTGCAGTGGGCTCTAGCACTTAGATCATTAGAGGTGAGTATTCCAAGGTCCTTTACAGAGCTTGAGTCATCAACAAGATCTTGACTATTCAGCTTGTATTTTATTTTCTGATTTTTTTTGCCAATATGTAAGACAGAGCATTTATTTGTTGAGATTTGAAGTTGCCATTTGTTTGACCACTCTGATACATAGTCAAGATCTTTTTGTAGGGTAGCAGTATTGTCTGTGGTATTGAACAGCTTTACATCATCAGCGAAGAGAACGCAATTGCTCTTAATATGATCACAGAGGTCGTTTATGTAGAGTATGAAGAGAGTTGGTCCTAGAACACTGCCTTGGGGAACACCACTATTGACAGGTACTGGATTTGATAGGACGCTCCCGATTTTGACCATTTGTTGTCTGTTTGACAGGAATGCTTCTATCCAGTTATTCAGTTGTCCAGAGATACCATAGGATTTTATTTTTAGGAGTAGTTTGTCGTGTACCACTGAATCAAAGGCTTTACAGAAGTCTATGTAGATTGCGTCTATTGTTTTGCCCTGGTCGAGTTGTGTCGTCCATATGTTTTTGCAGTGTAAGAGTTGCAGATTACAGGATAGTTTTTTCCTGAAACCAAATTGTTTATTGGAGAGTAGGTTATTTGTCTCTAAGTGAAGGATGATGGATTGGTTAATAATTGATTCCATGACTTTACAGGTGACGCAGCATAAAGAGATTGGCCTGTAGTTTTCAACTAGGCTTGGGTCTCCCTTTTTGAAGATGGGGATGACTGTGGCTTGTGACCATAGGTTAGGCAAGGAGCTGGTTCTGAAAGATTTTTCAAAGATTATGCTTAGAGGTTTGGCTATGGCAGTGGATAGCTTTCTTAAGAAGTAGGCACATATTCCATCCGGTCCAATAGATAGAGATGGTTTTAGGTTGCGTATTGCTTTTTCAACATTGTCTTCTGTGAAATCGATATGTATTAGATCATTGTAGTTGTCTGTGGTTCGACTAGGAAATACTAGGCATGATTCATTGCTGTTTACAAATACTGAGCCGAAGAATGTGTTAAAGATGTTGGCTTTAATGGTGTCGTCGTTGCAGTCTTTACCATCAGGTCCTATCAAGGGAGGGATGGACCTTGAGTCTTTTAGTTTGTTGTTTACAAAATTGTAAAAAGCGCGGGTGGAATTGGTGCTTAGAAGGTTTTCCTCTTGTTTAATGTGATAATTGATGCATTCGGTCTTTATCTGGTGGCATAGATTTTTGTATCGGTTTTTGAAATTGGCAACGTGACCAGATTTGTTTTTCCGCCAGAGTGATCTCTTTTTGGATTGAAGTTTCCTTATTGATATGGGTAATCTGCTTTTTTGTTTTGTTTTGGGAGTTGTTGTTGGTACATATAGTTTGATGACTCTTTTTTTATGACATCGGTATAAGAATTAGAGATACACAGAACCAAGGGAGAGTTAGTAGAAATCAGTTTGTGTGTATGTGTGTGTACTTTCAAGTCAATGTTTACTGACGGGTGACTGCCTAGACAGGTTCCTGCAGTTTTCTGGGTTCCTGTTGAAAATAGGACTAAAGCCCAGTCTCTCAGTTTCTAGCCTGTTTCCTTAATCACTACCAAACTGGTTATTAATAGGAATCATTAGAAAGTAAAAATGAAAAGTTTGGATTAGGGTTAAACTTTAATGTGGCAAATATAACTACATCACCATGTTTAGCAAAGTTATAGTTTGCAGGAAAACAATGAAGGTGTAGAGGGTTTTTTTTTGGGGGGGGGGGAGTCCTAAGTAAATAGGAGAATATCAACATACTTGAATATTTAATGTAATGTATATAATAATTTGTCTATAGAGTGTCATTTTTGGTACAAGGTGCGTATATGTGTGTGTCTTTAATCCAATTTTCCAATTTGAAAACATGTACAGAAGGGATTGATGTGATCCATGAACTGTTGAGGATTATATAAATATATTTATAGTAGATGTCAAAATCTCTTTAATTCTACTGTTTCTACTGCATTTCATTTTATTTTTTGAGTGAGACTAGGCAAGTAACTGTCCAATTATGCAAGAGTATAGATTTTTGTATCAAGATACAAGAAGAGTGCAGTGGAATGCAAGCAGGAATTGGTTTGCTTGAGCCAATTAAACTTTATATTTCTAAGGAATGAAGGATTAGGGAGATATGTCTTTACAATTAAAATTTCCTTGTGATATATTCACCTCACTAGCAAGAATAAACTTTGGATTCAGGGCCACTGCACAATTTTTCATCACTTTATACCTCAGCCTGAAGCTTCAGGAGGAACGTGTTTTAAAATAATAAAAATAGTGTAGAGTTTCTCTTATTAAAAAGAGGGATAGTTTATTTGCTGGAGATAGTGAAACATTTTTATTGTGAAATCCCAATCCCAGTTGGCCTGTTTATTTCAATTTTAATATGTACTATTTAAATTTGTTTTTTTCCCTTGGAGTTTCTGAATGTTGGAAACCTCTTTGAGCATTTCTTATAGAATTTGATATTCTTTTCAATAGATAGGATAAAAAACATTTTTCTGTGCTCTGTATAACTGTTCATTCAGTAGTTGTTTTCTATATCTAGGTCCTAAACAAGACACAGTAAATGATTTCTGGAGGTTGATATGGGAACAGAAGTCTGCAACTATTGTCATGTTAACAAATGTGAAAGAGAGAAAAGAGGTAAGACACTTTAAAGTTTATTTCCCTCTAACAGGTTTGGAGCAGTCCAATAGCCCACAAAACTATTAGTAACATAACCACTTCCTATATCATCTTGTCAGTAAAATATCAGTGTCTCTGATACAGTACAGCACTGCAGTAATTTTAATACTTGACCTTACATAATTTTTTCACATTGCTCACGTCTTCTCTGTCTCTTTTCTGAATCTTTCCCCCTCAGACTCTCTCTCTCTCTCTCTCTCTCTCTCTCTCTGTGTGTGTGTGTGTGTGTGTGTGTAAAATAATTGGTGTGTTGTATGGGCAAATTATCTGAAATTATTTGACCGTATTTTTCTTTGTCTGATTTCCTGGTACTGTTTGATAGACAAAATTTAGAAAAATTACAATTTCATAGCTTCAGAACTCTGTTAGTAGTACATTTAAGGCCCAACTTTCCTTCTACCATCATTGCTAGTATTTGAGTAACATTGATTAAAGTCTATATGAAAATTGCATCCTGCAGCACACCTATAAGAGTAAGTAGCAGAATAATGATTTCCAATAAATGAAGCATGATTTTTTGTTGTTGTTGCTCAAGGATGATCTCTCCTGGCACATAGAGAGAAAAAAGAGTGCATGTAGGCTATATTGTTGAAAGAAATAAGAAATTACATATCTTAAACTTTTAATTCAAAACTACATTAAGTTCTTTTACCTTCTAAATCAGGGATGTCAAACTCATGTCATCATGGCAGCATCACATAACATATCGCAACTTTTTCCCCTTCGCTAAACCGAGCATGGGCGTGGCCAGCCTGTGACGCATCCGGCCCACAGGCTGCAAGTTTGACAGCCCTGTTCTAAATAGACCCAGAGTTGAAGAAATGGATCTGTAGAAAAATCATACATAGTTGATGGTAAAGTTATATCTCAACAAATGCTAATTCTATGTTACCTCACAACTTACTCTGATCTTATTTTGAATATAATTTAGGTTCTATATGGTTCTGTTTAGTTTCAATTTCAGAATTGAGCTCCTTCCTTCTTCCATATAATTGCAACATAATTGTTTGTTTTTAAACTGTCCGTTTGGGTGAAACATACAAAACGCTGATATGATATGTTTGTGTTTTAACGTTTATATAGGACAAATGTTTTCAGTATTGGCCTGATCAAGGATGCTGGACCTATGGAAATATCAGAGTTTCTGTGGAGGACTGTATAGTTCTTGTAGATTACACCATTCGAAAGTTTTGTATTCATCCGGTATTTCATTTTCTCTTATTATTCCTATAAAATATAAATAATCTATTGCTCACATTCTTTTTAGAATAAGGAATATCTGGAATTATATGTTTTTGTTCAAGGATTACAAACTCAAGTTATTTAACTTTTACTTATATTTTCTTGATATTATTTTAGAATTCATGCTGAGATTTTATTTGAAATTCTCTGCATACTTTGAGCCTAATGTTCTTCTAGTGCCTTTTTTTTTTGGAGTCCCTTCTGGGAGTTCATGATTTCCAAACAAATGTAATTGATCATAGATAGCTATACTGAGTTAATGCTTTCTATAACATTCAAATTATGTTGACATCATAAGGAATCCCATAGAAATGACAATATAAATTATGCCTTCTTCAATAATAATGTTTTTAGAATGTTATAAACAATAAAATGAGAGGAATAGAATCAGATGAAATAGAATTTTAAACTATGGGCAGGTACTTTTACCTGCTCTGGAACTGTATTATGGGAAGGTGGTGTTTTTTTTTGGCTTTAATCAAACAAATTTGCAGAAATATTACTGAATGTGATATACAGGGAGCCCTTGGTGGTACACTGGTTAAAATGCAGTATTGCAAGCAAACTCTGCCCATAGTTTGAAGTTTGATTCTGACAGGGCTCAAGATTAACTCAGCCTTCCATCCTTCTGAGGTGACTAAAATGAAGGCACAGATTGTTCGAGAGCAATATGCAAATAATGCTTACATTGTAAGCTGTCCAGAGAGTGTTGCAAAGCACTATGGGACAGTATATAAGCCTAAATATTATTGCTATATTGCTATTGTTATACTGCATTTATCATATTTTTTCCTGTGGATATCTGGTTTGCCGCTGTGGGGACTTAGCTATATTAGCTTGGCTACTGGGTCTGATTCAGCATCATGATTGTTTTGACAATATATTAAAATACAAAAAATTCAGATAATTTTTTTAAACTCGGCGTATAATATTGCTTCCTGACAAATTTAACCCGGAGAATATTCCAGGTTGTAATGTCATTGTGGAAAGATAAATCTGTGGTTGCAATTTACAAATACTTTTGGTGCATGATTGATTTTATATCTTCTTTAATTGTTCTCTTTAATGTGCATTGTGAAGAGTAAGGAAAAAGTCAAGGAACAAGTAACTAAACTATTGGTTGACTTCATTCGAAAATATACTGATTGTATTCATATTTTGTTTCTGGACCTTCAGCAGGTTTCTGATGGCTGTAAAGCTCCGAGACTTGTCACTCAGCTTCATTTCACCAGCTGGCCTGATTTTGGAGTGCCTTTTACCCCTATTGGAATGCTAAAATTCCTAAAGAAAGTCAAATCATTGAATCCTGCACATGCTGGACCAATTGTGGTTCATTGTAGGTACGTATCTATGTGGAACTGAAGATGTTTATCCTTATCTGTGTCAGGATGTGGGATTAATAGGCCAGACTAATCCAAAGGATGGTCCATGGAACAAACATTGGAAGGTGTGTAAAAGACAAACAGGAACTACCTACTTTTCCATTCACAGAAATCTGGCAGTTGCAATTGAACTCAACTTCAAGACAGTGAGCTTAGATAGGATATAAAAATACAGGAAAAATAACACTTGGAAATTATAGACTCCTGTAGACTAATTTTAGTAACTTATTCAACAGTCTTCTGCATAGTAATGTGTAGAAAGAACATTTCAGGGAAGCTGAGTTTCAAAATTCAGATATAAAAACACGTCATTAATAAACTTTCAATTGTTCACTTAAAAAAATGAGCAGTGGCAGAATTAGAGGAAGGGAGGAAGTTGCAATGATATCATAAGCAAAAACAAGTAGCTGATCTAATACATAGGAAAAGACTGCCTAGCACAGGATGCCATGCCTTTTTCTTTTCAAGGAAGGCTGAAGATTATTTGCCATGGCAATTTAGAAAGCAATCTGTGATAATTGTACTCCCTCTTGTGGTTGTTCAGTAGATTAAATAGGATTGTCTGTGAATGTAATGAGATTTCGGTCAGTTTACAAAATCCAGTAAATTAAGTGAGTATGTGTGTAATTAAGTAGGCAGGTAGGTAGGTAACTAAGTAGATGTGTAAGTAGGTAGGTAGGTAGGTAGGTAAGTATGTATGTAAATTGCCAAATCACAAAATCCAATAAATAAATAAATAAACAAACTGATTACTTACATAGTAACAGACAGCCTGGATTAAAACAACCAAAACAATCATACAAATATAACATGGGTTTTACAAATGCATCCGTGAATACATTTACCCCTAAATTGTGTAGCTCCTCAACACTCTTGTATGAAATCTGTCTGAAATTAGTCCAGAAATTGGTCTAGCTATTGGCAATTTAATAAATAAATAATATTTTTCTACAATAAAGGCTCAAATATGAGCTTTCACTTGTGTTTAGTTGGATGTACACTTTGTCTTTGTCCAAAGGTGCTTCAGGCATGATTTCATGTCTTATTTGTTAGATGTCTGACCTTAGAGTTAAGAGACTTTGAATCTATATATTTATATTTTTGCTGTGAGCTTTGCCTCCCAGTGAATTAGATATGCTTCTATGACTATTGCTGGTATTCTTACTATTAATTTAAGAGGTAGGTGCTGTAGAATATAAAGAAAAATCAATAATATCAGAAGTAAGATATATTGTTGCAGTGTGTAGTAAGATGCATTATTCCCCTGTATTTTGCTGAGTTGCAACTGTGGTTTTTTTCCCAAGTGCTGGTGTGGGTCGTACAGGCACATTCATAGTAATAGATGCCATGATTGACATGATGCATGCTGAACAAAAAGTCGATGTTTTCGAGTTTGTGGCAAGAATTCGTAGCCAGCGTCCACAGATGGTTCAGACAGATGTAAGTAATTCATACATGCATATATACAAACATACATACATACATACATATTATTTCCAGTAACTATAGTAACCTTCTTCCATAAAAATCATTTGCATGTTCATCAATAAAAGTTGTTTTTTATTGTGAACATTTTCTTCTTCTCACAGTTAAAATCTTTCTTTGGAAATGACAGAGAAACAAAAAGAATTTGCATAGCAATTTAATTTGATATTGTATTCTGTCTCAAATACGTCAAGTGTTCTTGTTCCCTAAATCAGTTGTATTTATCTGTAAAATTGACATATATCTCATTTTCTCACTGCTGACATGATCATATCCTGGTGTTTAGAAGAATCACCATCTATTTAAATGATGTTAAAGCAGCATCTGATCATAGCAAATAGGAGTTTTTTTTACAAAAAGTCAGAGGACAGCACTTTTTCCCACTGAAAATATTTGCCATAAAAGAATTGATACAGTCCTCTGTATATGTTCTTGTTTCTAGCTAAGACTATCAAATGGGAGATGGGGGTGGGGATTATATTCATCTCCTTGTTATTTTTTTGTAGCTTTTATTAAATCACCTGACCTCTTTTTTATTTTGTTTTTGTTACGAGAACATTCATGCTATATTGCATTAAGTAAGTACCACTCTTGGTCTTTGAGTCTCAGGTGTAGAATTTAAGACTTCAGGCTACCAAGTGATGTCTAAAACGTTTGAGTTTAACCTCTTTTGCAACTTTTGCAGAAAATTCAGCTCCTCAAACAGCATCTTGGAACAATGCACACTAGGACTGTGGGCGTGCATGAAATATGTAGGTTGAAAACTGCCCACACCATCAAGGCAATTAAAAATACTCTTGACATATCAGTCCTGTCAATGAGAATATATCTATCCTGCACTTGTTGCATTGGTTTCCAATAGGTTCCTGGCTCGATTTAAGGTGTGAATTATCACCTTAAAAACCTTTTGCAGGATAATACTGGACTACATCAAGCAATATCTAATGAAAATGGAATATATCCACCTGTTTCAGTTCTATAGAGCAGGGCTGTCAAACTTGAAGCCCACAGGCCGAATGTGTCACATGCTGGCCACATCCATGCCTGGTTTAGCAAAGGGGGGAAAAGTCATAATACGTCACGTGACGTTGCCGTGACAATGCAAATTTGACATCTCTGCTATATAGAGAGACTTTTCCTGATCTCACCTCCTCATGAGGTTCATAGATTGTAAGCCAGATGGCAGACTTCTAAGGAGGAGCACCATTTGATGTAATTCCCCCTTGAATTACAAATAAACCCTATTCTAGGTATTTTGAAAATTAGTGAAAACGGTGCTGTTTAGTTGAATGTCACCACTAATGAATCAGAATTTTATTTTGATTTTTACTGCTAAATATGATTATAATGCCCTGTTCTCAGCTTTATTTTATTATTTCCAAATCCAGAATATGTTTGGACTAGGAAAGGCTATAGAGGGAGTCCTCGACTTACAACAGTTCATTTAGAACTGTTCGAAGTTACAAGGGCACTGAAAAAGTGACTTATGACCATTTTTCACACTTATGACCTTTGCAGTATCCCAATGGTCACGTGATCAAAATTCGAATGCTTATATTTATGTTGGTTGCAGTGGCTGTCCCAGGGTCATGTGATCACCATCTGCGACCTTCTGACAAGCAAAGTCAATGGGGAATCCAGATTCATTTTAACAGCCGTGAATCATTTTAACAACTGTGGCAAGAAAGGTCGTAAAATGGTCATTAACAAATGTTTCACTTAGTAACATAAATTTTGGGCTCAGTTGTGGTCGTATGTTGAGGACTACCTGTACACATTGTAAAAATAAGTGAAATCTTTCATTTTAAAACAATGTTGCTGAATTCTATTTAACTAAAAATGTTCCAAAGGTCATGAATTAGAGTGTTCTATTTCTTTACAGATGCAGTATTCCTTCATATATCAAGCCTTACTTGAATACTACCTCTATGGCGACACAGAACTGGATGTATCCTCCTTAGAAAAACACCTGCAGCCATCAAATAGCACCACACCAAATCTTGTTAAGATAGGATTGGAAGAAGAGTTTAAAGTAAGCCTCTTAAAAATGTTATAAAATATGACAACAAAACACACTTTTAAAATGTAATTTGGTGATTGACCCCAGTGCTTCTTTTTTAATACATTACTTTTTTTTCTCCTAAATTATTTGATTATTATTTTTTGCAATATCTGTCATGTTATTTATATCTAAAATATTGTAAAATTAATGGGATTTTTATGCTATGGGATGGGATTTCTAGGCTTTTAATGGGATTTCTAGGCTTTTAATTTTTTTTTATTTAAACTAAGTACTATGAAAATGAAAGCAGCATCATAAGGAAAATATTAAAACAAAAACTTCACCCAAGCAAATATTTGAAAAAGAAAATAAATGGATTGGGAGTACATAAGTATATTTATAGTGTTAAATATGAAAAAATAGTCATGTTCAGTATTCCTGTCCAAAAATACACTTGTATTGGTGAAGGAAAAATTACTCTGTTAATATAACTAACAAACATTATTTCAGTAAAACATTCTTTTAGAATGTTTCCTTATATATATATGTAACAAAGTTTCTGTGCAATTGTAATAATATAACATGTCAATCAAGCAGAATTTTTCAGAAAAAATGATTAAGACATTTCGGTTGAATTTGTTACTATTCTTCTCACATTGAGTTTTTTATTTTCATTTGTAGTTATTATCTAATTTTTACTTTTGTTTTAGAAATTAACAAATGTTCGAATAATGAAAGAAAACATGAGAACTGGTAATCTGCCAGCAAATATGAAGAAAGCCAGAGTTATCCAAATAATCCCTTGTAAGAAATTAAATTGTATTTTCAAACAAATTGTATAACTTAATTGACAAAAACTGAGAGAATATTGTAATGTTTTACAAGCAACAGCAGGTGGCATTGCAGACTGAAATAGCTAAATTTTATAAAAGCCTGCTGACTATAATTTATATTATTATTGATTATAAAATATTTAGAATTTTACAAAATCTACTTCTTTTGTCCCCTAGATGATTTTAACAGAGTGATTCTTTCAATGAAACGAGGTCAGGAGTATACAGATTATATCAATGCTTCCTTTATAGATGTAAGTACTTTTCTGTACAGAAAATGCACATACTGTAAGAGATGTTAATTTCCAAAATATTTGTTTAAAATTCATCTAGAAAAGAACATGACCTTCAGCATTACTATACGTTAATAAATTTTTGTTAATTAAAAAAAAAGGAATTAGAGCCTCATAATAACATTAAAAAAGACTTTGTATTTAAAATATCAACATAAAGAAGCAAACATCTTTGCTTTTTTATAAGAACCAAGTTTAATTTACTTTTTACTGTGGCAGGATTTGTTTTATTTAATTGAGAATCGAATTAGATAACTTTGTTGCTGTCAAATTTTCTCTCTCTATTTTGGTGAAGAATATGTTTTTTCTTGGTGTTTCAACAATAGATGAATATCTATTACATAATATTGAATTCATATGGTGCATTATGTCAAACTCTCATATTCTAAGCTTCATAAAAGAGTATGATACTCAAAATGCTTTGACTGAAGCCACAGAGATCTCCAAAATTTGCTATCTAATTGTATTGTTAATAGGACAAATGAAAAAAAAAACGTTACACATATGACTGAGAAATGATCTATATTTAATGAATTTGACATTTTAAATACATGTAAATATACACGAGAGGAATCATTTACTGCCCTGGTTCCACTTATTCTATGGTTCTGATGTTTTTCTCAAAGATAAACTGGAGGGAAAAAAGCCACACAGTTTGGCAGTAAACATAATAATTCGTTTGATTTTGACTTTTGTGAAACCAGCCATTGTGCTTTGTAAATTGTGGCTTCCTACCATATTGTTTAAATTTGGCCATTGTGGCTACTAGCTCAACAGACTATTGTTAGAAGAAATTGTGTGTTTTCTTGCTTAGTCAACATAATGGTATTCCTCTCACATCCTCCTTTCAGATGAAAGAGAGCTCATTATTTATTAATTTAACAAACCCTTGCCTTCTCTGGTGTCACCCTCCAACATGTATTCTTTTCAGTCATTGAAACTGGTCCAATACAAAAGCCTCAGTGAAGACTTGGGCTAAATTTGCTTAACAAATTTCTTTGATTTGTGGATCAGAGTGAATGGGAATGGGACTGGAAGGACCTTTAGAACTTTAAAGAAAATCTCTATTCTGATAGATCTATTTAATATAAAATTCCTTTCAGTCGGAAGAATCTAGATAACAATTGTCAAAGGATAAAATATTTCTTTATGTCCAGGGCTATCGCCAAAAGGATTACTTCATTGCAACTCAAGGACCTCTTCCTCATACTGTGGAAGACTTCTGGCGAATGGTGTGGGAGTGGAAATGCCACACCATCGTTATGCTTACAGAAGTGCTGGAAAGGGAACAAGTATGAGCATTTTGTACAATATCTTGTAAACATTTTGTTATTAATTTTTTTAAAAAAACAGAATAAGAGTATAGGAATATATATCATTAACACTGATCTGTAAAATGTAGTGTCTCAACAGGCTTAACATGAATTTGTCCTAGCAAATGTTTTGCAGTCCTGAGACTGTGGATGTACAATTGTTGCTTTTGCTATTGACCAGGATTTTAACTGTTCAATAAATCGTGAAATCTCATGTGAAGTAGCAACTGGATATTCTTGAATGTAGAAATCTAATTGTCATACTTTGTGCCATAGCCAGGGTCCAAAAAAAGTCATCATAATTCAGAGGCAGTTACAATCAAATGACAGGAAATTCAGTGGGAATGAAGTGTGGTTCTGCACTCAGATGTAGTGATGTAGTGAACGCTTGCAATTTCCTTATTCTGAAGGAAAGAATAAGAAGAATTCTATATATATGGTGTTATCTTAATTATCAGTTTGATGTGATTCTCTCTATTACTCGGATTATATAGTACATATTATTATGTACCATATAAGTGGATGGGAAGATTGGAATTAATTTGTAAATCACCATTCCCAGAAATAATTGACATAGCTTAGATAGCAACAAGAAATCAGAAAGCATCATTTGTTTTTTTCTGTTTCTAAATTTTACAGGAAAAATGTTTTCAGTATTGGCCATCAGAAGGTTCTGTTTCTTATGGCGAGATTACCATTGATATTAAGAATGACTTGCTTGTTGATACTATAAGCATAAGGGACTTTTTGATTACACACAACCAGGTATTCTTCATAATTTCCTTACTTCTTAAACTTTGGATTTATTTACTGTTGTTTTAAATATATTTTATCATATTTAACAGACTGGTAAATAGTTATGAATATCTTATTTTAACAAATGTATTCTGTCAAGAATAAGCAAAGGGAGCAAATATTAGAACAGATAAATTTTCACTGTCCAGAAATTTGATCCCACCCTTCTGTAATTGGCTAACAATGAAAGTTTCATATGTTGACTTGGTTACATCTTGCAGACAAGAAAGATGTATACTGCAGAACTCTGAAATGAAGTCATGTCTCATACACACGCATGCTTGTGCGTGCATGCACGCATACACACATATACATACACACCCACACATTCTCTCTCTCTCTCTCTCTCTGTATTATACATACACACATGTATATATGTACAGTATATACATGTTTGTATGCATGGTGTAGCAGCACTAAGGTTTAAATTCTAAACCTTTTCAAATCAACAGATATGAATTATTGTTTCCTTGGTCTAAAGCGTGCAAGATATTTCTTTCATTTGATTCTATTCAATCCTTAAATTTATGAAGAACGTCCATTCATCAATTTATTGTTCAGACCACTGGAGAATGTTAAAAATGGAAACTCTGGGTGGGTGGGTGTATGTATGTATACACATACACATGTATATATACACATACATAGGTATGGTATTTTTAATCTATTTTCTAATATTACATTAGCAGTTAAGACAAAAAGGTTGATATAAATTGCATAATTTTTGTCACTGCTTATAGAAATGTTGCAATATGTAATTGACTCTGAAAGCTTTTATCAACCTTTTTAACAGTAAGTTTTGCTATGTCTAATGGAGTTACTCCCAGAAAAGTGATGAGGCTTTGGTATTTAAAACTATTTCTTTCCATCACTAAAGTTAACTTAAGGTGTTGCTTTCTCACTTCTGAATAACCAGGAGAAGCAAGGCAGAGTTATTAGACAGTTTCATTTCCATGGATGGCCTGAGATAGGCATTCCGACTGAAGGGAAAGGTATGATTGACCTCATTGCAGCTGTTCAGAGACAGCAACAGCAAACAGGAAACCATCCCATTACAGTACACTGCAGGTAAACACATTCTTGCATTCCCCCCCACCCTTCATATTCTTTTGCACTTTAAATTTAAAAAGCTAGCAAGGACTTTCACTCTGAAGTAAAGGCAGTAGGTACCTGGAAGAACATTTCACAGTGAGAAAGCTTTTTTCCAGCTGCAACTTACAATATTTACAGCTGCAGGATAGGGAAGCAGGTGAATTGGCCAATGATGAGAGTAAGTATAATGGCAAGTGTATATACAAACTGATGATGCTTCAGACAATCTGGTCCCAAGCCATAAAAGACTATGAGATACAAAAATAACCATCAGTGAATTGGTTCCAAAAACTGACAAGACTCAATGGACTTAACAAAACAGCACAATGTAATGTAACTTCTGATTTCAAGTCTGGTTCCTACTTTGTGATCAACTTATAATTTTTTCCGCAGAGGTGGTATCACTTGCACCATATTAAAACAGAGTAATC